AATCTGTAACTAGCAAAATTTTCTCATCCGGGAATTCGAAGTTCATAGATTGGTAGTCGTCTATGTCTTGATGAGCCAAATGGTCTGCCAGTACACTTCCTTTAATTGCTTTTTGAGTGGTGTACTGAATGTCGTATTCTGTTAAGACCATTTTCCGTTGGGCTATTCTTCCGGAGAGAGCGAGTTTCTCGAATATATACTTTATGGGATCCATCTTAGAGATCAACATAGTATGAGTCAACATATATTGTCTTAGTCAGCGAGAAGCCCATGCCAAAGCGCATCAACTTTTCTCGAGCAGTGAGTATCTTATTTCACAGTCGGTAAACTTTTTGTTGAGGTAGTATATTGCATGCTCTTTTCGACCAGACTCATTATGCTTCCCCAGAACACACCCCCATTGAGTTCTCTAACACTGTTAAATACATAATCAGGGTCTTCCTATAACTAGTGGCATCATAATTGGAGGTTCTTGTAGGTACTCCTTGATTTTGTCAAAGGCTATTTGACAATCGTCGTTCCATTTCACTACCTGATATTTCTTCAACAACTTAAAGATTGGTTCACAAGTAGCAGTAAAATGGGAAATAAATCTGGAAATATAATTTAGTCATCCAAAGAAACCTCTGACTTCCTTCTTCGTACGGGGAGCGGGAATTTCTTGAATAACTTTGAATTTAGCGGGATCAACTTCAATTCCTTTACCGCTGACAATAAAACCTAGTAGTTTATCATATCTTACCCCAAAGAGGCACTTGTTCAGATTCAATCTCAACTTATACTTCCTCGATCTCTCAAACAACTTATGTAGATGGTCCATATGCTCTTCTTCAGTCTGTGATATGGCTATCATATCATCGACATAGACCTCTATCTCGTGATAGATCATGTCATGGAAAAAAGCTACCATAACACGGTGATATGTTGCGCCGGTGTTATTCAACCCAAAAGGCATAACCTTGTAGTAGAAAGTGCCCCATTGTGTAACAAAAGTAGTCTTTTCCATGTCTTCAGATGCCATCTTAATTTGATTATATCCTGAGAAACCATCCATGAAGGAGAATACCTTGTGTTGAGCGGTGTTGTCGACCAAAACATCAATATATGGAAGTGGGAAGTCATCTTTAGGGCTCGCCCTGTTCAAATCCCAGTAATCTATACACATACGCACCTTGCCGTCTTTTTTTGGCACTGGAACAACATTTTCAACCCATTGAGGATAGGATGTCACTGCTAAGAACCATGCGTTTAATTGTTTCATAACCTCGGCCTTGATCTTCTCTGACATCTTGGGACGCATGCGACGAACCTTCTGCTTAATCGGAGCATAACCCTCTTTCATCGGCAGACGGTGAACCATGATATTGGTATCCAGCCCTGGTATGTCTTCGTATGACCAAGAAAAGATCTCAACATATTCATGCAACATCTGTATTAACCTGTTCTTGACATTGTCCTTTAAGTTGGCACCTATCTTGACCTCTTTTCTGTCTGTTTTAGAACCCAAGTTTAGCACTTCAATTGGCTCTTTGTGTGGTTGAATAGCTTTCTCTTCTTGTATTAATAGTCTGGAAAGTTATCCTGGTATCTCACAATCTTCCTCACCTTCGTCCTCGGCTTGGTAGATCGGATTTTCAAAATTATGTGGCAATAGCAAAGTCGTTATGAACGGGATCCAGAATGGATGTGGATCTGCAATGTATTGTGTGGGTGTGTGTAAGAACACATATCTATCTGAAAGTGATAAAAGTGAAAAGAAAGAGAGAACAAAATTAGAATGCAAAATGCCCAATGCTTTTATTAAATGAAAATATGTTTATGAAATGAAAACCCTTAACAAATGAACTATTGTGCCCTGGGTAAAGCACAAGGCTTAAAGTCATTGTCCAAATATTACAAAGCCAAAAACTTAAAAGCGATAAAAAACATAAATGTAGCTTTTACTCCTAACTAAAGGAGATTGAGATAATGTCTTTTTCCTTCCAGTTACTGAGCCCATTGCCAACAGTAGGAAAGATCCAGTTGTCAAGGTCATAACCACTGTCAGCATATTCTATCATGTTGACTCCGTTGTTATTGATGCGGAATGGTGGCCTTCCAGCTCGAGCACGGCGAACAGCCCTCTGACCCTCTAAAGTGAAACCCAAACCAAAGTTGTTAGATTTATAGGGTATATCAGGAAGTTGACCCCAAATAGTACAACCACCTTCTTCTAAAGTAGCTTTAGCGTCTTTCAATGAAGCCATCATGGGCAGAGCCCTAGTAACTTTCAGAATGGCAGAGACATCTTCAGTAGCGGCCGGAGGGATAACTTTAAAAATTTGACAGGGAGTCTCGATGAATTCTCCATCCATCTCTACATACCGGATAGAGTTCAAGTGGCTAACCATATACTCTTCTTCACCACAGACAGTAACAATCTTTCTGTTCACAGGATATTTTAATTTCTGATGTAGGGTAAAGGTAACAGCGTCTGCCTCGTGGATCCAGGGGCGTCCCAGTAAGCAATATTAAGCTGGCCGAATATCCATTACATAGAAGGTAGATTCAAAGATCTACCACCCTACCTTGATCGAAAGATCCACCTCCCCATGAACCATCCTTTTTGACCCATCAAAGGCTCGAACTATATTATCACTGGGTTTCAGTATGACCCCTTCACAATAAAGTCTGTCAAGTGTACCCTTTGGTAGAATATTCAACAAAGAACCAGTATCAACCAATACATGAGCCAAAGTAGTATCCCTGCATTCAATGGAGACATACAGGACTTTGTTATGATTTCTTCCCTCAGGAGTCAGATCAGCATCAAAGAAACCTAAACCATTGTCAGTCGTCAAGCTCATAACATAACATCCAAATTGATCGGCAAAAATCTCTTGTGGTATGTGAGCGGTCTTCAAAACTTTTACTAAAGCCTGTGCATGAGCTTCAGAACACAATAGTGTTGTACCCCAATTTTTTCCCCTAAGATCCCTCATCATACTTTGTACATTTTGCACATAGCATTGGTCTCATGGTTATAAGATCGAAGCACTTTGGCATTAGGGTTTCCCTCTCTGAATGAAGGTAGTCGTCTTGCTCAAAATTGATTCAACTGGCGCTCTCATTTTTCTTGGTATGAGATTAGGGTTTTGGATCTCAAGCAACATAGATGTCTTCACTATCAGGTTTCCTCAAGATACAAATTTTTCTTCATTCAAGGTTCTTTTAAGGAACAAAGGTATTAGGGCCTAACTCAGCCAGAGAATCAGGATCTCTCTTCATTTTGTTTGAGCTTGGTAGTGATTCTTCTATGGAGGTTTATTGAGTTAAAGTCTCACTTCAAGGCTACATTGAGCGCTAATCTTCCCTTACTTGATAATTGCTTTGAGTTTTATCAAGTTTAGATATGTACTGTTGGGTAAGCTATGGGTTAGGAGCTCATTCAGCTCATTTCATCAAATGGAAGTTGTTCGCTTCAAATGCAAGATGACTCGAATTTATGGATTTAAGTGAGATTCATGTACATAACTCTATTAGGTCATCTAACACACCATTCATTCATTAATCAATAAAATGTAGCATGTGATCAAAGGTTTCGAAGAATTAGGGTTTCTTTAAGGCTCTGAGGCTCTTATCTTTATCCAAGACATTCAAGCTGCTTCTTCAACAAGCAGGGAAAGATGCTAGGGTTTTAACTTATTTTGGGAAGGATGCTAGGTTTTTTTTTAACTTGTTATGCTTCATCAAGAATTCAATTGTAAGCTAAGTTTTTGGTTCCCTCCATCACCTCAAGCGACCTTGATTATCAAATTTTATCAAAAGCAAGTGAACTAGGGTTTATTACTCATCATATTTGAGCTTGTTGATGTTCAACAACTGAGATTCATTGAGTTTCATGTCAAGATATCCTACTATGCTCCAAGTCCTACCTTTATCCATGGATTTAATGCATTGTCTATCTTGTTACTCATCAATTCGAGATATAGTGGAATTGGATTGCGAAATGCAAGCCATGGTGCAAGAGATGAGTTTGCGGATTCATTGTAATAAATGGCTTCATCGAAGGTTTTTTTAAAAGAAGGTTTTCTCGTCAGCATATTAAATCGCCTCCTCATTAATGTGCGTTCATGGCAAGGAGATTAGGGTTTCAGCTTGTTGCTCAAGTTTGTTGGTTCATCAATTGGAGAACTAGACTTAAGGGGATTTGTTTCTTATACTTCAAGACATATTTGTCTTCGGGGAAGTATGTTGAGGCAACCATTTGAAAAGACTTTGTCAAGTCAATATATTTTGTGGATTGAATTACAAGAATGAAACACGACATAAAAGGTGAAGATATGGATTGATTTTGATCAAGACAATTTTGTTCTCTTTATTGTTGTATGTCGCTTGGAAATACAAGTTAATTGGGATTAGTGATTAAGGACAAAAGTTCATCAAGAAGGCAACTTGGCTCAGTTTTGATCAATGGATAATTCATATGAGGTTTCATTCAAATGATTCCATGAGATCAATTTATTCAAAAGCATAATTTGGGATTTGGCTCATGACTAAATTTTGAAATGGTATATTCATATGAATTTCTTGGGATTCAAGTAACAAAGGCATACATCACTATGTTCATTATTCATTCAAAGCATTATTCAACATCATACAAGTATAAATCATCACAAAGTCAAGGTGTCCAAATTCTACATCATTCACCACTCAAAGCTCGAATCATCATCATACATACCATTTCAAAATGAAATAAAGAGGTATGCTTTTTGGACATGAGGATGCGTAGAATATAAAGTTTTATCATTGATGACAAGCAAGGCTACAAGATAAAGATTACAAGAAAAATAATGTCTTTCACATTTCCAAGTCAAAATTTCTTACAAGTGAAAAGGAATTCATTACAATTGAACGAATTACAAAGAGGGTGTTTGACCAAAGTCTGATTGTTGTCCTAAGACCTATTCCTACTAAATCCTAACCATGATACTTTCGACAAAACTCCAAATTTGAACTTCATGTTAACTATAAAGTGCCTTCATGTGCAAAGCCACCATGTTGAAAACCATGTACATTACCAACGTACACCTAACCTACTGCTACACCTGACCTGCATTAGACCTCCACAAAAGAGTCACACAAAAAAAACTATCATACCCATACATCTTAACTTGCTGCCACAGAACTATACCATGCATTGCATACCATTTTCAAGCAAATCTCACCATAAACACATACTTAAACCTACTAACTCTTTTCTCCAAAGCCTCATATTCCATTTCACACCATATAAAGCCTTTCGAACTATTAACCAAAAAAATAGTCCATTCATTACATTCAAAATAAAGCCAAATCAAAGGAAATAAGCATAATTCAATAAAGTAGTTCCTACAATAAACAATTAAAAATCCAGTTCAGGAAATATCAGAAATCCTAGTCTCCAAAAAAAAAAACAGTATGTTTTGCGGCACCAAATGTTGTGAATCAATTCCAAGCTTTCTTAATCGAGAGATTGTATTCGTGTTGTCTATAATGGGGGTAAAAGATAAGGCGTTGTTGGCATTGATAGAGGATCGATTGTAGTTGTTAAAGATGGATGCTGATATGAAAGGTGTTGTTGAAGCGGTCAAGGGTAAAGGACGGTTAGCCTGCAAAAGAAAAGGGGAAGAAGGAATTAAATCAGGAGGTTGAACTCAGAAAATGAAAGAAAAAGTCAGAAGTTGTATGGTAGGAGGCATCAAGTTATAATAGAAGGACTAATAGTTGGTAATATAAATATAACAGCATTAACAGAATTCCAACTACCAGATAACTCCCAGTCCTGTAACCATCTCCTAACAACCTATAACATCCATAACAGAATTCCCTAACAGAATTTTCTAACTCGTTCAAAACAACCCCAACAAGCTTTCGGCATATAATAGAATTGGTTCTCCACAGTTAAAAAAATGGATCTTTTCACGATTTTTATCAGAATCACGATCCAATGATGGAGAGGGGAAAAACTCACCAGAAAATGATCTCAGAAATCTCTTTATGCTCTCTCTCTTCCATCCTCAACCTTTACTTTCCTCCATCTTTCTCACTCTTCATTCTCCATTTCTTCAATTCACAGAAGAATCAGAGAACCTACTCTCTGCTTCCTCCATAAACCTCTCCCTTTTCTTCTTCATCTTCATCATCATCCTCGACTGTAACAACTTCATCTTCATACAACTTCAAGAACACTACAACGTAACAAAAAACGCAGAAACGCATAAATTCAGAGGAAGAAGACTCAATATCGCAAGCAAAAGAAGAAGAATCGAGAGAAAATCACATACCTGAGCCTCTGTTCTCTGGATCTTTCGTCATATTCGTCAAGCCTGAAGACGGGTCGAACAAGCTCTGCCTGAACAATCATGGTATTAGGTTTAAATCTCTGTCGTAAAAGGAGATAGTCACAGTGGGCTGTGTCTTTGAGAGAGACGAAGAGAATCACTGAAAACAAGTGGAGATGATGATCCTTAAGGTAGATCAAAGATGTTGAACAATGACGATGATGTGATGTTATTTTGTTCACCAAAGAGGACGGAGCGATGATTAGAAGAAGAAAGAGTGAGTTTGTGAAGATGATGAACAACGATGAAACAAAAGAAGAATTATGAAGCACTACTTGTCGCGTGAGGCCGATCAGAGTGAGACGGCAGCAGTAGTTCGTTTGTGACGATAATGAGAAGAAGAGAGAGTGAGAGTCAGAGATCACCGGTGATGGAAAATATCTGCGGTGCAACTTTGGAGAAGGAAAGCGTTGATGGATTTTGTTTGTGGAAGACACAGAGTCATTTGGCTTCTAACCCTAAGCCCTCTCTCAATTTTCTTTTCCTATTTTTTTTTATTATTCGTTTTTTTATAATAATAAATATTTGGTAAATGGCTTGTATTATTGTTGGACTAGATCCTTCTCCCTAAGCCCATTCGTTTTTTGCAGCAGGTTAGCAGCCAAACAAAAACGATATGGTGGACTCAAAAAAAAACTACATGGGCCTAGAGCCCAGATCACTTCTGCACCTCCCTCTTGAGCCCATTTTTGCAGCAAAAAAAGAGAATTCCTAGACCTGTTCTAATGGGCCTAGCGCCCAGATTACTTCAGCATACCTCCAGAGTTCCAGCTTGCACCCCTTGGGTTTATTATTTTAGTAATTTATTTTAATTAATTTTATGAATTGTGTAGATTGGTTTGAACTCTTTTTTTTCACATGATAAAAAATAATAAAAATCAATAAAATTGTTATATTTTTTTATTTGATTTTAAGAATTAAATCGGGATTATCCGATTATTTGAGATTTGTAATTCACCTTTGCTTGTGGAGTTGATTTTTATGCAGGTTCATTGTTCGATATGCAGACATGTTTGAGTTTATGATGATGATTTATTTTTCACATCGATGATGTTTCAACACCTATTCCAAATATTCGAACTCTGACTGTTTGTTTGTTGATTCCAGCTCGTACGAAGTATCTCGTACTTCTTTACTTTGGTTGTGCTTTTTGCGGACGTCATTGTTCATTTGGTATTATACTGCTTCCAAGTTATATTCCGGCATTTATCGCTTTTATAGATATCATGAGAAGTAGGAAATAAAGAGCGTGCACTCGAAGTCGCTGTTTAAAGACCTGTAGCAGGCATTCCGCACTTTATTTATGTTATGTGTTGTGCTTGTGTTTGCTTCCTTTCTTGTTGATCGATGAGTCACTCAATTTAGCAATTGAGATCACGACTTCGCTCTCAGTGCATGCCCCCTATAGGATTTTATCGCTTTCCTTTATTTCTTGTTGATCGATGAGTCACTCAATTTAGAAATTGAGATCACGACTTCGCTCTCAGTGCATGTTCCCTATAGGATAGTTTATTAGACTTTCTTTGGCATGCTGATCCCTCATTGTATGATAACATTAGGTTAGAGATAGGTCAATCTCCCTTAGATGTGTTCTTCCCATTTTTGCATAATTGCACTTAAAACTAAAACTTCTTTTTTCTTGGCAAATGTATAACAAATGCTAAGCATACAAAAATTCTTTTCATGATAAAAAATACCAACCAATCCATTTCTTTTCGCCATTCGGCTTTTCTCTTCTAAGAGCATGTTAGCTCCTTTCCACTACAGGTCGTAAGTCTCCAAAGGTCGAGCAGCGGTGGAATGATCGAATGCAACATTGTTCATTTAAAAAATACAAACAAACAAAATATATGAGTCGAACTACGGTAGCTCTGATTCCTCAAAAAGGATACGTAGGCATTGGGGTAGGGCCCAAGCGAGTACAACTTTATTTTTCCCTACATTCTTTCTCCTTTATTTTGCGTGCATTCTCCCTTTCGCAGTAGTAAACAGTAAAAATAGTTTAAACACACCCTTTGATTAGAATAACGAGAGTGGATCCCGTAGAGTACTATGGATGTGTGGGGTGCTAATACCTTCCCCTCGCGTAATCGACTCCCTTACTCAATCTCTCGATCGCAAGACCTTGATTTCCCCTTTAGGCTTTTCTTCGATGATTTCCCTTTCCCTTTTATATGGGATAAATAAATACTCGGTGGCGACTTCGTTGATTTTACCGCTACAGAAAAATAGCAACTTCACTGGGGAAAATGTCGACCAATTGCTGGTCCATCCCGTGAGTCACTCCTAGCTCCCGTTTTTCTTTTCTTAGGGTGTTTATCATTATGCTTTTATGGATTATTCATTTGTATATGTTTGAGCATATGTTTGCATTGCATCTTTATTGTTATTTGTTATATTGTTGTTATGATGGTTTCTCTGTTTCTTTGTTGGGTGGGTGTTACTATGAGGTAAAAGGCCCAATACCCAGGCTAAGTGGAAACCACAGGAACACCAGGATTAGAGTGGAACATGAACGGCTAGTTGACTTAGGTTTCACTATGCCGCCATGTCGTCCACGCTCAGATGAGGTACAAATGAGGGGCTATCATTTTCAAATAGGTGATATGGCGATAGTTTTTCAGGAGTACCCTCGATTCTGAGTTACCATAAACCTTACCATGACCTAATCATTACCCGTGAGTGGGGAGGGAATAATCTTTACAGGTACAGATGGTGACTATACATGTTCCGTTGATGACTCTGATTATACTGATGACTTTGATCCTTGGTATTATGAATTGGTCCGGACCTTTGATCTTATTACATATGACAATTGTTCTATTATTAGTTCAGTAGTTATCCAGTACCACAGAAGCTTTGATCCCATATGTTTGCATATATAGCATGTTAATATAATTATCAGCATACATGTTCCTTTTTTTTATTTCCAAACATTACTTCCTTGATTCCAATTGTTAAGACGAAAAATAAACATAAAAAATAATATATAATAAATACATGAAAAAAGAATATATAATAACATTGTGGCTTAATAACTGGAACCAAAGTGTATGAACTTTTGGAAATAAGAATATGGCATTTGTATTACATGTCATGTATCATGTTACGTTTGACTATGCATTCATGAGTTCCACAGAAGTCTTACCCAAGGTCCTTTGGTCGTTTGAATCAAGTTGTCTCATCAGTACAACACTCGTGCTAAGGGAAGATTAAAAGCATTAAGCAAGAGATCGTTGAACTCCGCAAAGAGGTGGCTATTTTCAAGGCTGATGTGGAATATCTAACTGCTTTGATTAAAACTTTGGTTTCCGCCCAAGTCAATCCTTCTAGGAAGGAAGAAGAGATGGAAAAAGTCTTTACAGAAACTCTGAAATCATTCTTTCATAAGAAGGTGATAGTCAATGCACCCGGTGAGTTCCCAGAAAAGGCAAATGTGAGAGTGCTTCTAGAAAAGGACGTCCGAAAGGAATGTTTATCTGAAGACAGTGGCCCAACTAGTGGTGTGAAAAAGTTTGATAATAATTTTTCTAAGAAGAGAACCAGAGGAAGAAACAATCATCGTCATAATCAGCGTGTTCCTTCTGTCAACCCTGTGTTTAATTTACCTCATGTTGCTCCAATTTGTCAACAAAATCAACAAGCTTCTAATCAGAAGAAAGTTCTGTTTGATCCAATTCCAATGACTTATACAGAGTTGTTTCCTATCCTAATGCAGAGGAATTTGGTTTAGACTCGACCTCCACCGAAGATTCCTGAGAAAATACCTTGGTACTACAAAGCTGATTTGACTTGTGCTTTTCATCAGGGAGCCCCTGGGCATAGTATTGAACAATGTTATCCAATGAAAGCTGAAGTCCAAAAATTGGTCAGAAGTGGTATCTTATCACTTAAAGATATTTGTCTTGAAGTTAAAACCAAGTCTTTGCCAAAGAATAAACATGATTGAAGAATGCCCTAGATTTCAAGGATGATTAGATTTCTCATGTTTACTAGAAATTTTAATGATTTCTCATTTGTAGTTCTTCTTGTTAATCATTGTACTATTTGCATAAAAGAACTTGTTTACATTTGAATGATTATCTTAATACAATAAATATGTTTGTCTTGAAGAAATCCATTCGTTTCAGTCGTATTTGTTTTTAATTTTAAATTACTTTTTGCATTATGATACCAACTTGTTATCCATTCTCTTGCATAAGCATTGATTGGAGGGAGGAAGATGAATTTAAAATTCAAAATTTATGGTTGTATTCTTTTGAATAAAACCTTGTTGACGATATATAGGCATTGTTTCAAATTCCTAAACACTAGAGATATAAGGGAGTGAAACCCTCGTTAACCCCTTTGAGCCTTGAAGCATGATTTTCTTTTCTATTTCAGAAAAAACCGTCATTTTTAACCTGGGGCAGGGTAGTGTTCAGTTAATTTGATCGAGCGTTTGGGACTCATCAGAAATGCGCATCTAAGGATACGACAATGGTTATCCTTCAAAAGGTTGAAGAGACTCAAAATTGTAATGGCTAACCTTTACTTATCAAGAGTGGGAGTCAATTGATGATACCCCAATGAGTATCTCTCACACACCAGAAAGTCAATAGACGATGATACAATAATGGTTATCCCTCATCTTCCAAGAAATAGGGCAATCACAATTCTTCCAACAAGTCAAAAATGACTCAACATCACGCGACATGTTCAAGAAAGAAAGAAAAGGTAATATAAAAATGAATGAAAAATGGAATGAATAAGAAGTGATTAAAGAAAAAGACAAAAAGCCCCGCTAAGTCGGAACTTGGAAAAATCTATCTTAGGCAAAAGTCAGGGCATCCCGCTGGGCTTCATAGTCAAATTCAAAAAGAATTTGTCCAGGCAAAAGTTAGGGAAAATTATGGAAAGCCTGAAAGGCGAAAAAGGATTACAAAATGGATATCCTTAGCAAGGAAA